AAGGGAAAAAAGAATTAATTACCACTGGATATCCCAACTGTCCTGGGCTTACTCATTGCTGTCCACATGCTAAATAAAATGGTCATTTTCTGTGAGCATAAGATATGTCTCAAATGATTGCTAAATAGATTTTTTTTTAAATTTCACCATACATGGTCTTGAAAACACAAATATATAATGGTCAGTGGGTTTCTCAAGATGGAATTCAAAAGTTCCAAAGATACTTTAAACATCAAATTATGCCTAGGACACTGAATGGGTGGATACCCTATATTCTGTTTAATATGTATGTTCAATTGCACATATTTTTTAACCAAATATGTCTTTATTTTAATAACAGACCAAAGACTGAAAACACTTAGGGCTATTTTTCTATCTCAGCAAAAAAATAGAGGCTATGCTACATGACCCCACAGGCTAAGATGATTCTATTTAAGAGGTCTAAAATAAAGCTAGAATAGGAGAAGGAAGAGACCTTTTTCAAAAGACTCTTTTCTCTTTCTAGGAAATGACACTGAATTTTATCATAAAGAGAAATAAATATTATGGTCATCTTTTTATTAAAATTAATTTAATGAGTTTTGTCCAAGCCTGGATAAAAATGATAATATATTTCCAATCTACCAAGTAACTTACAAACTTTCATACACACAATCATTTCATAAAGGGAAACTTCTCACTAGAATAGTTATTATATTTACTATACCTAACCTGATGGATGTGTAACATCTATTACTTTAATCCTTACTCTATCTACTTATACGGATATGTTCCACATGTAGACAATTAAACTAACTGTTGTTGCAGACAACATTCAACTCTAAATGAGATCCTGCCGAACAATCTTGATCACATTTGCTTTTCTATTTGAACACATCAGTACATGCTATATAACAATTCTTTTTCCCTACAACAAGACAGTTATGGCTGCCTGGTATCAGAGAAGGATAGCTCATCCATTTTGGAGAAACTACCTATGAAATAGTCATTTGGACAGACAATCCTTTAACAAAATAAATTTTTTTGAGAAGCATATTAAATCCTAATTCAAGAAAACAAAAGTCATAACACTCACACCCTACACCAAAATAGACATCAATATATTTTCTTTGAAAACTGAACCAAAAAACTCATGAAAGATATGAAACTGAACAAGGTCAAAAAGATATCTTATGTTTAAAACCTCTTTTGAATAATTAAATAATTTGGAGCATTCAAGTACTGTCCATACAGTTTAAATAAGTCCATATGAAAGTCATTTTTTTCCTTAAATCAATCATTAAAAATGAAAAGAGTTGCAGTAATAATGGAATGAAAAACAAGAATTATTAAAACTCTAGTTGGCCTACTAATCCAATCTGGGGGGGGGAGCACAATGTTTTGCTGCTTTCTCCCTAATATTTCATTAGCATTGCTATACATTTCTATCCTAATTTGCCATACTGAAGCATTACTTACAGCAGGATGTTTTTGGTGCATATGGTAATATATGTTAAGGGATCCTTAAACTCTTATTTTCAAAATCCTTAATAATCTTCTCCTTTAAAAAATTCAGATTCACAAGTTTTAATCAATGATTTCACAAATATGAATATCCTAACTATTAATCATCCCTTTTTCCAAAATCCTTATGGAGTGAATTACTAACTGTGAGGGGACGCCAATTCTAGTAAGTGAATGTTACCCAACAGGGATATAAAGCTGTCAACACCACAGTGCTCTTGCTTGCTCTAAACTCTCTCCCAGGCTTCATATGTTTTTTAAAGGGATATTAGCCTTTTTTCCGAAGACCCTCTATAAAACCTGCCAGTCATACACATCTGAGCACTTATATTTTATTACAAACATGCTTTAAAACAGTCTTTTTAGATAACTGCTGAAACATCCTAGAAAGTGTTGGACTACACAAAGAAAAACTGATCTACTTTCTAGTATATCCTGCTGACATTAGCCACACTGTAAACATCAAACTTTTAAACTACCTATAAAAAAAACCTTAAAGATACTAATTATGTATCTATTACTGAAACTAATTTACTATGGTCACCATAATAATATTTCCTTTACATTCATTAAATTTTCATAAAAGTCACTCCAAAAAACTAAACGATTAAAAAACACCAACTAGAATTTTCTCTTCGCAATAAAAAATGGGTGTGCTTTTCCACCTCAGTCCTTGTCAAAATCAACAACAGAAATAACCATTTCTAATTCAATTTATTTTAATATTTCCTCTTTTGTGTGAGAATTTTTTAAAGCCCATTAAAGTTCATTAAATACTTGTTTCCCTAAAAGAAGACATCTCACTCTCTTTTTGCACTTTTTGATTATATCTGTCTTCACAGGGTAGAAATGATCACTGAAGAAATATCTATAATATGCATTTCTGAAGTAATATAAATTGATAATACTTCTGGAAGAAAGCTAAAGTAAAAGGAGATGGGGTGGCAGAAGAGTATTCTTTATCCTTTAATACCAGGGTTCAAGTTATAAAGGTTTTTTAATTATTGAGGTGATTATATAAAAACACCTGGAGACAGAATATTTTAAATTGCATATGAACATTTGCATACTTTAAAAAATACAGCTTTAAATATGTGCCAAAAATTGTTTAAAATGTAATTTAATTATGTTGTTCTCCAATTTATAGATCTGATCAGTGTTTGATAAGGCCACAAGTATTACTATAATAGTGCTTACTTTGGAACCTCATATGAATTGAAATCTACAAAATAAGTGATTGCAAATCCTCTTCAGTATATACAACCTTGAAAAAGCTTGGCTATTTTGAATAAAAGGCAACAATTTAAAATAGCATTTTGGAATATAACTGGAAATATTTTGTGCTATTTTTGCTGAGAGCTATATTTTTTAAAAAATCTTAATTGTCATCCTACCAAATGTATAATTTAACTAGTTTAACAATGATTATTGTAGATATTTTAAATTTAAACAAGTAAATTCATTTTTCTATTTTGTTTTCCGAAGCATTAGTAAATATAGAGTATTATAAAAGTCTGGGAAAATGACGAAGCACAAGAACAGCTTGGTAAAACATAACTAACATCTTTCCCCAGACATTAAAACTTCAGTTTAAATCAAGCTTACATGTCATATTATAAAGAGTACATACTATTAGGTTATTTTTCAATCCTTAATTTTAAGCATGATGGTGTTAATGTAAAATTGAATGAAATTCTTCTCCTTTAAATAGGTCAGCTTCAATCTGAACCACTAATGTAATCACAAAATCCCCTTATATTTCTTCTTACAAAGTAGAGCTATAAAAATAAAACAAAATTTATAGCCTAAAAAATGTTTTGTCATTGTTTTCTTATAAGGGAAATAAAAAACTTTCATATTCCCATTATTTCCTTAATCACAAGGCCTCTGGGATTTCATTATGTCTCAAAAAGGTTACTTATTATTTTCTAAGCTTACTGGTATATTACAAACATTTTCAAATCAAATTAATAATGAGCTATCACTATGCAACAGTGAAGAATTGAGACCTTTTTTTTCAAATATAGTCTCACTAGAATATTTTAGGAGACTCGTAGCCAAGTTACTCCCTCCTTCTCTATGACACTGGCCATTAATTTAATGCTACTGAAAATAAGAAGCCATAAAGATTTCTTCTTAGTTTATTGAAGTAAATTTTCAAATCACTAAAATTCTCAGTCTGTGGCTAAGCTACAGAAATTTAGGGAGTAAATACCTCCCACATGGGAGGGCAATTAAGCTAGGTAACTGTCTAAAGTGCTACACTTCCACAATAGAGTAATGAGGAAGGGGGTTTGATGGTAAAATAAATAACAAGTTCTTTTACACATGTTTACAACTTATTCACTTAAAAAAAAGAGCTGACAAATTATTCACTTAGAAACACACAATCTGCCCACCTACAACAAAGAAAAAAAAACTTCAATCTTTCCCATCAGGTTACATCTTCTAACATCCCCCCTAAAGATCAGACAATAATTATTTTGTTTGAATTATTGACTAAGGAAAAAAGGGAAAAATGAAACTGATTATAGTAAGCTATATCCTAAAGTACTCAAAGTTTCAAGCCAAGCAGAATTTGACATCTAAAAACAAGACACAACATCGTAGAAATAAAAAATACATGAAAAATATGCAATTTCCTACTAAAACCCTCCTTAACATAGATAGGCCCTAGTCTATCTGGCTTTTTTCAGGCTACTTTTTCCATTCAGTTGCAAAGGAACTATGCTTACAAGCAAAATACTACCATAGATTTTTCTTCAAATGAAAATTTCAGGAATGAATGAATGAATGAACGTGCTTGATGCCCACACTCCATTAATTTTAAAGGCTATGATACAGTCTATAACTAAGTTACAAATTCATTATTTTAAAAGCTTCAATCCTTCTTTCTCCCCCTCCCCCCAAGTAACTATTGGCATATGGGAAAAGGTAGCAATAAGTATCCAGAAAGCCAAAATGAAATACAACACAAATTTTCTGTGATTCATTTTTTTAACTTTCAGATGCTCAAAGAAGAGTAATGATGAGATTATTCTACCTTGAAGCACTGGCACAGATACAAAACGAGGCTGTGGAGTACATTAGATTGATCATTACTGACCAGAATGTGAAAGCAAACACATCTAAACTTATTCTCTCCTGTAGACCCTTTTAGGCTCAAGAAAAGAGTAAAATCGCTAAAAAATGCTCTCTAGGAAAAGCTAGAAACAGTTAGCTGGCTGTGACATAAACCTGCCAACACCTCAGCACACAGTGGCAAGTGCCCAAAAAATGCCACCCTCTGGGTAAACCACTTTCTGTCTTAACTATACAGATGAAGCTGCTACTTGCTGATGAGAGGCAAGTGGAGCATTATTTAACAATCTGGAATCCACTTCCTGTAATCCTACACCAAGAAGAAAAGCTTAATCAACATGAACCCTGACACCCTGATGCCATTATCACTTTGCTGCCAGTCTGTTATGTGAACGTTAATACTATTGGATGGTTACCTCCCACTGACTTGGTCACGGAGCCATTGGGCCTCCCTCTGGCTCCCATGGGACTGCCATTCTGTTCGAGCCTGGCCACCTTCACGGGAGGAGGACCTTTGACATCAGGGCTGCCGCTCCTTCTATCTGGGCTATCCCTTAGACAGGGACTCTCGCTTCTCCGTTCCATGCTACTTTGACTCGGAGACAAAGTTCCCACAGGCAGATCGCAATAAAATGAGCAAGGACCTAAAGGGAAGAGGAGGAGGAGGAGGGAAAGAGGGGGGAAAAAAAGAGGGAAAAACTGCTCACACACGTGATAGATGTTCAAGCCAGTTATACATTGCTTTACAAAATAAATACAAACTTCCTCCTCCCGCGTTAGCCAAATAAAGTCCAAGCTGCAGAGTGCATACAGCACACAAACTTGCACTTGTCAGGCAGAAGTGGATTGGAAGCTTGTGTTTTTACCCCTAAACTAGCCCGGCTCCCTAGGACTTCGCAACTGTGCGGCTGGGGCACGGGCAAGCTCCAGGCTCCCAGAAGTGGCCCATTCATTTGAACTTCGTTGGCATAAATCATTCCTGGGCGTGACAATCTGACCGTGCTCGGGGTGAGGGCGGGAGAAGATCTGAACTTCGGGAAAAACTCTACACACACTGAAAGGGGGGAGGGGTGTGCACACACATTCGCACATCTATCAAATAACCCGGTTCACCAAACGAAGGATGCATTCGGTGCTGCGTGGCCATGCTGCACGAACGTGAGGGCACACAGCATCCTTTAAAACTCCCCTTTATCTTTTTCAGAATCATTTTAGAAGGAAGAAAAAACAAAACAGATACAAATACACAAATAACTTTGCAAAGACCCAAATCTATAATAACAGTAATCAGCATTCAAAGTGCTTCTGGGTATTTACCAGAGTAATCTCTATTACAGAGAGGGAGAGACGGCAATTATTATTTTGCAACATTTTTATCTTCGTCTAACCCAGAATTTAAGGGGGAAAGGGATCCACACCACAGTACAAGGTCAAAAATCATTTTGATTCATTGATGAAATGTCAAACTGCATAAAATTCATATTCAGAAAACGCTTCAGAAAGTTTTCCTGGGGCTTTTTCACTTCCAACATTCTCATCACAGAACCTGCAGGTCGCACCAATTATTGGGGCAGGGTAGGGAGGAGGCCTTGGGGTGGGTGGAAAGAAGGGGAAAATGCTCTTAATTAAACGGCGTTCACGTTTGCCAGCTAACTTCACAAAGTAGTAAAAACACAACAAACTGCGCGAGAAACACTCGCAGGAGGATTTCACCGGTTGATAAAGCCGCATCGATAAAGATTTTGGAAACCAGGTGAGGGTGGGAAAGAGTAGGAGAGATGACTGAGGACAGGACCGATTCATTCCCAATTAATTCAGCTACTAGAAGGAAAAGGAAGGAGGGGGGAGTCAAGAATGAAACTATATCTGACCCAGAGTGTTTTATCGTAACTCATAAAAGATGGTTATACAGTATGAGTGTCTTATCTTCTGTACTTACTGCTTATAGTCTGTCTGTAACTTGGCTGAGCTGAGCTCTGTCCATGGATCAAAAGTAGAGAATCCAGGGTGGAAAGTTTCTTGTTTCCTTTTTTAATGTTCTTGTTTTCTTCCTTTCTGTTTCCTTGCCTTTTCCTCTTCCTCCAGTCCTAATGTTTTAAGGTCCTGGGTCAGGATGTCTTCTTCTTGTGAGATGATTGTGATGATGGTGATGTTGATGATGATTGGGGGGGGAGGGAGGAGAGAAGGAGGAGAAGAAGGAAGGGCTCTACCAAAGGGGCAATAGAGCTCGTGGCGGAGAGGTTGGGGGAGGGAAAAGGGGAGGGTGAAGAAAGACGAAGGCAAGGGGGAAAACAGGCTTTTTCACACCTTCAGGAAGGAAACCAATACATACAGAGAAAGAGCAGGGTAAATCGAGAGACCGCGACGGCCGCTGCTGCTGCTAAAGGGGCTGCTATTCTGGAGAGGAAAAGCAGTAGCAGCAGCAGCTGGAGCGGGTGCTACAATCAAGGAAAAAAGTGGGGGGGGGCGAGAAAGGGAGAGACTAAAGCAGCAGCCCCAGATATGTCACTTTCAGTCTCTCCCTCCTCTGCCGCCGCCAGCAGCAGCAGCAGCAGCAGCAGCCCCAGCCGGACTCACTGACACGCCACAGAGAGAGACACTCTGAGAGGGAGATGATTATTAGTTGCGTTGAGTCATCAGGCAAAGTGAGTCCTTTTGGGTTGTCCTTGGTTTCCGATTTCCTTCCCCCCCCCCCTTCCTTTCAGTCCCCAGATCTAGCTCCTTCAAAATAATAATTTAGAAGGGAAAAAAAAAAGTCTCTGGGATATTTCGGGATCAAGCACCCCCCCCAAAAAAAAAAAGCTGACCAAAAACTCCAATCCAGACTCCTCCACCGCAATGAGGGAGGGAAGTGAGTGGGGGCAGGGGCAGGGAGGGGGACTGGGGAGGTTTCGGGAGAGGGATAGAGGGAGGGAGGGGGTACCTGCCTGGCAGGAAATTAAACATCAATCAATCTTACATTTCGGAGCGACCCAAATGCACCGTGGCTGCAGAAGCGGGGGGTGGGGGTACGTGTAGGAAGGGTGGGAAGGGAGGGGGTAGAGGAGGAGGGTAAAGCTGGAGTCTATGGGAGCTGGAGGGTGAAGAGGCTCAGGGCAGCCCAGGGAGGGGTAGGAAAGGGAGGGAAGTGAAGAGAGGGGTGGCACCACCGCCGCTGAAGGAGTAGAAGGGGATAGACAACAGAGACACGGATGGGGGGGGAGCCAAGGACGGTGGTAGGGGATGACCCAGGACTAGTGAAGCGAGCGCTGCTCTCCGGTGTTCGGATCCGCCGCCGCCGCCGCCGCCGCGCTCCACAGCAGAGGCCGCCTCTCCAGGATTGCGGGAAGTGGAGGCGGCGACAGCAGCGACAGCAGCGACAGCAGCAGCCGCAGCAGCGCCGGCGCCGAGCCCCTCACCTCGGCCCGAGGAGCCCCAGACCAGCCCGCGTCTTTTTCGCAGCTTCCTTTTCTGTCAACTGCGCTTAGTACTTTCGACTTTGGAGATAGGAGGGCGATCACCTCCTCCCTCACCCTACCCTCCCCCTCCCCTCACTCCCCTCCAGCTCCCACCTACCCAGTCCTCCCGCCCGCCAACCCCTTCCTCCGCCCCTGCGAGTAACTTTTCCCTGTGTGTTTGGGGATCTTCCCTCAGCCCGGAGCATGCCGTCAGGGGCCAGCTAAGGATCCAGTCCCCGAGATAGACACGTATGAACGTTCACGCTTTATACGGGAAATAGCAAAGTGTCCGAGAACAATAGCGGGTGACAAGGCGGCGAGGTGTTCTCGTTAAGCGCTGGGCGCTGCTTCGGAAGCTCCCTCAGCTCTCTGGCCGGGCCGCGGCGAGAGGCGGCCGGAGAGGAGAGCATCAGTAGGGGCGGTGGAACAGGTCTGGGGGAGGCTATGAAGAGAGTGCAGCGACGGCGCTTAAGGGTGGGTGACCGGGGATCGTGGCTAAGCCAGTGTAGCACTGCAGGAGTAGGCGGCGGGTCTGTCTCCCTTCTTTCTCTCCCGACTCCCTACCACCGCGCTCCCCGCGGCCACAGCCAGCCCCTGGACTACTCGGGCTTCCTTAGGGAGGATCGGGCCCGGGTACTAGGAGGGTTCGGGGGAGGCGAGTGTAGACAGCACGGGGTTCTAGGCGCCTCTCTGGCTGAAGAAGAGCCACTGGGACGGGGCAGGGAAGAGCCTGGGCGGAGATGGAACGAGGGGACGGGAACAACCTGGGGTCGGTCCCCGAAAACACCCAACTGCACCCCAAACTTTTCCTTTCTAGCTCCCTTTCTCGGGAGAGGTCCGTGTCCCCGCCGTGGCAGCCGCGGCGGCGGCTTCAGCCGCAGCCCCAATTTAAGGTGGAGCGAGCCCCAACCCGGGCAGACGCTCCGGGCCATTGCTATTGTCTCCGCGGGCCTGGTCCTCCGGCCCGGGCTTCCTTAAAGAGTGGGCACGTGGGCGAAGGGGTCCCGGCCCCTGCAAGAAGCCGGCCGGGCACACGCGCCACACCGTGGGGGGGGGGGAAGAAGAAGGGAGGGGGATGGGGAGGAAAGGGGAAGAGCTGGGAGATGCCCGGGGGGGGGGCTTCCCCTCCCTCCAGAGAAGCGGGCTGAGAGAGCCTTTGCATCCTTCAAAGCTTTCTCTCCACCCTCCCCTCCCAGCCTGACTTCCTCCCACTCTCTTTCTCTTTCTCCCCCACACGTCTACCTCTCCCCCAGGGCTCCCTGAAGCCTGTGGTTCCCAAAACAGACGGTCCCCCTTAAGAAGCATTGCCTGTATGGCGGCGCCAGAGGGCCAAACCAAGTTTTGTTTAGGGAAACGCACTCGAGCCGGCACCTCTGGAAAGCCGGGCTAGGCTGGCTGAGAGGGGGAGGAATAGGAATCTCAGAACTTAGAAAGAGGGGGCTACGTTTCCACACGCTGTGCCCAACACGGCAGCGGAGCTTGCTGTGGTTCCCCCAAGACATGAAACGGTGAAAGGGGAGAAATTTTGTTGGAGAAAGAAAGGTCTCCGTGGAAGCGCCTACTCCGTAGCCTTGGCCCCCAGCACATCTGGCCGGTGCCTCGGAGGAGAGAACCTCCAATAGCCCAACGAAAGAGTTGGGTTTAGGGCCCCAGCGAAAGGATTGTCAGGAAAGAAATGAGCTGCGATACATTTTTTTTTAAGCCATGCCACTCTCTTGCCCCTTTCCCCCAACACCTTAGTCTCCATACAGTTGAGTCAGTTGGGTAAAGGGCATGCAGAATTTGGAGTCGGTGAAAGCAGATTGGCTGAATTACATCAACCCGAGTTAGTACTTTAAAAGTTTAACTTACTGGCTGCAAAGAAATTAAGTTGGGCAACCAATTTATTTTTTCCCCTGTAATATCACGTCGGAAATTGAATCAAAGAAATTGAACAAAAAAGTAAAACTTTGTACCGTTCAAATTCTAAAACTTATTTCTCGCTAATGCCTTAATAATGAATAATAATAATATACTGTTTCTTTTCTTACCTTGCTGCTGATCTACGAAATCCTCCAGATCAATGTCCAGAAACTTAGAAGAATTGGTGATATTAGGACTTCAGTACTTCTGGAAAAAAAAATGCAAATGATTTAGCCAGAATCTTTCCTGTCTGATTCGTCACTATTATTATAACTGATGATGCGGATGGTTGGAACGATTCAATCCAAAACCATTAATGAGCTATTTTATAAACACCACTGTCGGAAGATCTTCATTTACATTTCTCGAATGAGATCTCCTTGCTAGCCTAAGAGAGTTATGTCGACAGCACGATTACAGTACTGGTTAAACTTCTATAAATAACGCAACCGTATTGTTAATCGGTTAATATTTTATAAAGTGTAAATATTTTATAAAGTTTTCCTGGAAACCAATGATTCTAAATGATTAAATCCAGGAGCAGGGTGATTTAAATAAAGCATACAACTAAATGTAGATTACAATTTGTTTTTTTTTTTTTTTTATTATTTTACAACATTTTAATCTGTTAGTTTTCTCACTATTAAGATTTTTTTAAGTTATTTGCTCAATTTAGCTCTTTGGGGAGAAATCTCAAAATATTTTAAACTTTGGATTTGCACAGGGCAATAAGTCAAAGCATAACAAAAAAACTCGGAAGAGTACTTACCACTATAGGAAAAAAGTTTATAATTAATATATATTGCTTAATAATTTTTACACTTTCGATTTAAAATGAGAATTCTAGAAAGTTTTGTATTTTCCTGGTTTTCTTTTTTCTTTTCCTAATAAAGGCCATTTCTGTTTCAAATTACATACGCTTTTCAGTGCATAATTTTCATATTGACCTTATTTCAACTGAAGCAACCCATCATTTTCATCGTATTTAATTTTTACAATAAAAATTTTCAAATAACATTTTATGTTACACTATAATTTTCCACTTTTTTAAAGCAGTGGACGAATGGAGGATGATTATTCTTTTGCTTGGTTTCTTTTTCTAATCCATAGTGATTTACTTCTAAAGATTTTCCAACAAAATCAGAGAAAGGGTTTGGTTTTAATTATGTCTTTTTAATACATTTATCCGAAATGCATTTATACTGCTTTAAATTCCATGATCTTGTGTTATCAGGTTCAGAAGCATATAAAATCAAATTCCCACATTTGGGGATCACTTTTTTCCCTTTCAGAATGCTCTCTCCGATAATTATCTGGTGCTTATCAGAATTTCCCCCCCCCCTTTTTTTTCCCTCCCGGAGGGAAAAGTTTTTTGGTCATTTGGTCAACAAGAAAACGTACAGCAGTCGACTATCCCTTACTAATTAGACTCAGATTTCTTATTTATCTGGTACCTGAACTCAAACACATTTACTTTTGTTGTTTTTTAAATGTTATTTTTATTTTCTCTTTCTTCTCTTTTCTCCATTTGCTTTTTGCCTTCGACTCAGCGACAGAATTTTTCTATTAACCGATTTTCTATTTAACCCTCTGTATTTCTATTTTAACCCTCTGTTTTCTATTAACTCTGCCCAATGTCCCTCTTTCTCTTGGGGCAGGGTTTTCTCGATGTTCAGTCCTCTGATAAATAATCTTTCTTTTGGTGATGATGCTTCGGGCTGCTCAAGAGGTCCTGTCTAGAAAGACTGCGCAACTTCGTGCCACCTTCTTGACTCCTTGAGAAATCTAAGCAACCCATTCCCAGACTCACAGACATGCCCCGGCTGACCGGGAAACCTTTTTTCTGTTTTATGTGATTAGTTAAGACATCCCTGGAGCCCGTGTCCGATCTTTCCTGACCCAACTACGTGTGTGGAAAGCATGCCAGAAGAGTAAGATCAGATTGTATTTGAATGCTCATAAGAACGGGAATGGGAATGGGAATAGGTCCTTCTCTTCTTGCGAAAACTTAGCACTCGGAGAAGGAAGAATTAAATGGAAGAAATGTTTTCTCACAAATGCGGCCCTCAACTTCTGCTCCTAGTGCCCTCTTCTTCCTGCTCACTTCTTTGGAAAGAGTTACTACAGCTTCTCTGTGTTCGACATTACTGTCTCGGAGGGTGGGCCGGAAGGGAAAAGAAATGAATCTGAGCTTGGCACATATCTTTCGAGATCCTCTCAGGCTGAGCCGACGGCCCGCACTGGGCCTTGGCAGGCGTGTCCACTTTAGAAAAAGGAAGGGGAAAAAAGACTGGACAAGAACTGGTTTCCCAAGTTGCACCGGAGGGTGGTGGAGAACCTGAGATCCGATGGGGTAGGTGGAGGGGGTGGGGAAAAGATCCTCAGGGAACCCAAGAAAAAGGTCAGAGAGCCCACGGATTTCATTATCAGCACGGATCCCGTGTTGATGACAGGAGCCAGACAAACTTCTAAAGGGGCAAGCAAAAGGAAAAAAAAAAAAAGAATCTTATGCTACTATGATGGAACAAGGTGAAAGGAGGTTTGAGGGGAGGGGTGCTAAAAGAGTAGATAGCTAAATATCCTCTGCTTCAGAGATAAAGTTTATGTATCAGCTGTGACTAGCTGCTTCCGGGGCGCGGACAGAGGAGGACGGGGTAGGAGTTAGGTTTGGGTGGCATTTTGATATAGACAGTGAACAAAACAAAGGAGATGGAAGTGGGGGAGAAGAAATGAACCTAAGAAAAATAGAGAAGTGGGGAGGCATGACAAACGAGAAAACTGGAAGGCTGGTCTTCAAAAACTCGCAGTGTCAGGGACCAAGGAACTGGAAGAAAGATATGGGAGGTTCGAGTATACCAGGTAAACGTATAAGGAAGAAAATAAGCTTTGGAGAAAAGGGCTGAGAATTTCTACGTCTTTCTTAGTAGATGTGAAAGACTGGGGTAAAGGAAGAAGATTCCGGAGAGAACTCCAGATTCAGAGAACTAATCACCCAGAGCTTGGTCCCTAGTTCATTTCATTTTTTAAGAATAAGCAGCTTAACTGCTACATCGGCATCTGCTAAAGATGCTGGAGAGAATGCATTTCTGTAAATCGGGTCTATTTGTAAGTAAATGGGGCGGGGGAGGGGGAGAGAACCAATGGGAAGGGGAAGACAAAACACCAAAAAATGAGGCTCCACTCCTCTCTCTCTCTCTTTCTCTGAATCAACCAGGGTTTGAGTTGGGAGAAGCCCGGGTATTATGTTTCTCCTCCGAAAAAGCATTTTCGTGCAACTGAATCGCACGCTCAGTCCTTTCTGCAGCTGCTGACGCGCCTAAACCCCGCAGCCTAGCGTGGGTCCTTGCACTCTGCCCCCCGGCCAAGACTTCACTTCTCTTTCGCCCCTAGATGACCAGGCCCTGCTCCTTGTGCCCGAGGTGGCTCCGTCTCCAAACAGCGCCACCGCGTGGGCTATAATGGGGGAAAGCGGCACAGAGTCAGCTCTGAGCCAGATAGTACCCAGTCCTGGGCCAACATCGCCTGCAGACCTCACCTGACTTTTTCAGCTAGCTGAAAGATTCGCCTCGGTTAATGGCTCTGGGGCCAATCCCGCAAAACGATGCAACAGAAGCAGCAGTAGGTTCTGCCCTAGCTAACAGAAAGAAGGGCTCCTCAGTATCTTAACCCCTGCACATACTCGCGCAGGCACGCAGACAAAATCTAATTCACCAAGACTGGTGGAAATTCGAGGCTACGAGACCCCCATCTAATGACCCACCCTTCTTTCTAATCCTTTATTAACGAATGTCGGCAATTCTGCAATCCTTTTGTCCTCTAAAGCATTCATTTAGGGAAGGGAGGGGGCGGGCGAGGGGTTCTTCACATTCCTATACCTGACCTAGCTTGGCTTTACACAAGACCCAGGAAGGTGGGAGCAGGAAAGGAAAGGGTAGCGGCACTAGGAGAGAAGGGAAAGAGAGCAAAAAGTACGAGCCAGGCCCTACCTGTCTGCCCGAGATACAATGAGTGTCTCTCTCTCTCTCCCTCTCTCTCTCTCTCTCTCTCGCTCGCTCGCTCGCTCTCTCTCTCCCTCTGTCCTTTACTCCTTCATTCTCCTTCGTTCTTCTCTCTGGACCTCTCCTTTTTCCTCCTCCTTTCTCTCTTTCTCTTTTGTCTTCCCTTGCTTCTTCCTTCTCTTGCTTTCCTTTCTTTCCTTTTCCTTTCATATCTCTCTTATTCGTCTCGTCACCCATCCTCTTCTTTATTATTCTTTTATTAAAATGACCCTCTCCAAAACCCCTCAAAATGTCCGTGTTTGAGAGACTGGGGAAGGGAGAGGAGGTGTTGACGGAGGGAAACCTGATTGCAACCTGGTCCTAGCTCCAACCCACACACTGCTGCACTTTTCCAGCGTGGAGTTGAGGCAGGGGCCAGGCTCCTCTTCTGCCCCCTGGGGTTGAGGAGTTGGGCCTTGATGTCTCGCTTTGCTTTGTTCCCTCAGAGCTCTAGGCTACCGGGGGAAGAAAAAGCACGAGAGCCAGGAGTAGAACACGGCTGTGGCCAGGTCTTGAGGTGTTTAATTTTTAATAAGATAGTCCATTAAAGGGAAATTTAAGACTGACAGTTCTCCACTACAAGAACGACAAAATGCTTGGAGAGAGCGCAAAAGAGTGCCGCCCTGCATATCCTTCCAAATACGCTCTCGGCACAAAAGAAAATAAAAATATTCCTGCTGCTAATAAAATGTAACGTGCCCTTCAATTTTGTGGTTGGTCCAAAAGCAGATGCAAATAGGAGTCTCAAGCTCACTCCTGCCCGCTGGCAGTCTCACGCTCGCTTGTCCGCACCTGGCCGGGACCAGGAAAGCTAAGGACAAGTTGTCTACTGGTTTATGAGGCCCGGAGTCTTCACTGAAGACCTTAGCTCCATGGAGCAAAAAACCAGCGCGGCCCGACCCTTTCTGTTGGCACTCGGCTTTACTGTATCTCCACCGCAAAACTACGCCTTTTTTTGCTGACACCTCGACCATAGCAAGGCATTTTGGCCCCGAAGCCATATTTTTCGTTGCTTTAAAAATTATATGTATCTATGTGTGTGTGTGTGTGTGTGTGTGTGTATATATATATATAACATAATATATATATATATGTTCTACGTATATACACATATACACACGTGTGTGTGTGTGTGTGTGTGTGTGTGGTGTGTGTGTGTGTGTGTACACG